AGGTATTATGTACACTATTTACATTATTCGGACTATTTTCCTCATCTTTGTCACCATATTTATTACAACATTTCGGCCTTTCAGTATCTGTCTATATTTCTGAGATGAGGTATTATGTACACTATTTACATTATTCGGACTATTGTCCTCATCTTTGTCACCATATTTATTACAACATTTCGGCCTTTCAGTATCTGTCTATATTTCTGAGATGAGGTATTATGTACACTATTTACATTATTCGGACTATTTTCCTCATCTTTGTCACCATATTTATTACAACATTTCGGCCTTTCAGTATCTGTCTATATTTCTGAGATGAGGTATTATGTACACTATTTACATTATTCGGACTATTTTCCTCATCTTTGTCACCATATTTATTACAACATTTCGGCCTTTCAGTATCTGTCTATATTTCTGAGATGAGGTATTATGTACACTATTTACATTATTCGGACTATTGTCCTCATCTTTGTCACCATATTTATTACAACATTTCGGCCTTTCAGTATCTGTCTATATTTCTGAGATGAGGTATTATGTACACTATTTACATTATTCGGACTATTGTCCTCATCTTTGTCACCATATTTATTACAACATTTCGGCCTTTCAGTATCTGTCTATATTTCTGAGATGAGGTATTATGTACACTATTTACATTATTCGGACTATTGTCCTCATCTTTGTCGCCATATTTATTACAACGTTTCGGCCTTTCAGTATCTGTCTATATTTCTGAGATGAGGTATTATGTTCACTATTTACATTATTCGGACTATTGTCCTCATCTTTGTCGCCATATTTATTACAACGTTTCGGCCCTTCACTATCTGTCTTTATTTCTGAGATGAGGTATTATGTTCACTGTTTACATTATTCGGACTATTGTCCTCATCTTTGTCGCCATATTTATTACAACGTTTCGGCCTTTCAGTATCTGTCTATATTTCGGAGATGAGGTATTATGTACATTATTTACATTATTCGGACTATTGTCCTCATCTTTGTCGCCATATTTATTACAACGTTTCGGCCTTTCAGTATCTGTCTATATTTCGGAGATGAGGTATTATGTACACTATTTACATTATTCGGATTTTTGTCCTCATCTTTGTCGCCATATTTATTACAGCGATTCGGCCTTTCAGTATCTGTCTATATTTCTGAGATGAGGTATTATGTACAATATTTACATTATTCGGACTATTGTCTTCATCTTTGTCGCTATCTATAGTACAACGTTTCGGCCGTTGTACGCTCCGACCTTATTCAGGTGGCTGAAATGTCAAACTGAACCTTTTATTTCGCTCATTTGGGGTAGACAGTTTTTGTCTAATGGATGTCAGTTATCAGTTATCTCCTGCTTAATTGCCTCTCCAAGTTCTCCACTGCCTTAACCATGTATTTAATTGCCTTTATATACGGTGCCATGTGACTTCAAGGACACAGCGAATAAAGGCATTAGTTAGATCCAGTGACAGGACCCAAAGAGTGTGAGTTCAATACCTGGCTATACTTGGAATACTAAATATGAACTGAAGGAAAGGGTTATGGCCGAATTCACCAACTGAAACAAGGACACTATTTACATTATTCGGACTATTGACCCCATCTTTGTTGCCATATTTATCACAACGTTTCGGCTTTCTTCAGGTGATTGGAATGTCGAACTGAACCCTTTATTTCGCTCGCTGGTGTAGACTGTTTCTAGTTCCACGTGCAATGTCTAATGGATGTCAGTTATCCCTTTTTAATTCACCTCTCGAAGTTCTTCACCGCCGTAACCAGGATCTAACCAACGCCGTTATCCACTGTGCCATGTGTCATGTATGAATTACTGGGACTCATTGCATGTTTTTTACCAGAGATCAAATTGCAATTATCCTTGTTATTAATGCTTTTCTCTAGCACTCCTTAGTACTCGTTCCAATATTGTATTCACTTCTATGCTTGGTTGGCTCAGGAGATTTTTGTGGCCTAGCATATGTGCTGATTCCTTAAGCTTACGAATTTTCCAATGATGTTGTTTGTCTATGATTTCAACCTGATCCCACAGAAGGTGATGAGCTCCCTTTTCTTTCCATATGTGGTCAGCTACGCCTGATTTTTCCACTTCCCCTCGTGTTACAGCTTTTTGGTGTTCTTGAAGCCTTACCTTAAAGGGGCTGCAGGGTATAGCGTACACACAGTGATTAGTCATGTTCTTCTCTATGGGGGGTGGTCTTACTCGGGAGAGGTATCTGCGAAGGGTCATCCAGCATTTGATGTTTGTTCTGATATTATATGGAGCACCAATCCTTTGTACTTTCTCCGATATATAGACAGATATTAAGCAAGGGCATCGTCCAAGGGGAGTTGCTGGAGATTCCGAAGTCGTCTGGAGACCGTAGTTAAAGCCAATAGCGAATTTAATTTTATAAAGTCACTTGTTAGTATTTCAAGATATTTTTTGTAATTTTGGTAAATATATCTGTTAAAATGAGATGTAAGTGTTATTTAAATCTTTTTTGTAATGTAGACGGGAATTTATCAATTCGCACCCTGTATATTAAAAGACAAATTATTTGGAAAAAAAGAGGCGAGAATGAGTCAGTTTTTTTTCATATATACGAAGAAAGTTACTTAGACGAGAGGATCAACAACCAACCAAAAATGCGCGATTTCATGTGACAAACTAATATATATATATATATATATATATATATATATATATATATATATATATATATATATATATATATGTAGAAATTTTGAAAAACAAACAAAAATCCATAAATGTAGTTAAAATGAAAGAATTGTTTTTCAAAATTTCTACATTCTGTCGGATTTTATCCATTTACACTTGCTTATATATATATATATATATATATATATATATATATATATATATATATGCTATGGCTCCTTCACTATATTCAGTATTTTCGTTTACATATTTCTTTCTTTCTTTCTTTCTTTCTTTCTTTCTCTCTCCGCCTTCCATTTCCTCGACACTCACTCCCCAGAACTTTCTCGACACTCTTCTGCTCCTGCAGTCTTTTCCACCCGGGGGCCAGTTCCAAATATATGCTGACAATGCCTTTAGGTCTTGCCTTAGTCGCTACCCCCAGGCCATCAGTTCGCAAACAAGAGACACAGACACTGAACACAAACAATTAGCGCACTAAACTTGTAATTCTACCTTTGTAAGAACCATACTAATATAAACTGTTAAAATTAATCTATGGCTGACTCCATCCAAGATTAAATAATGTTTGACTGTACCATATGCATGATGAATAAATATGGTTGCTTTGGGTAATTTTGTTTACGGGCTATTTAATGCGGAAATCAAAATATTTTAAATGTGGTTGAAAGCCTTTAACTACAGATAAAATATATTATCATTTTCCTATAGATATGTATTGTGGTCATTTTACCATATGAATTGTTGGTCATTTTGCTATATGTATTGATTGTAATTTAACTATTCTCTACATGCAACGTGTGAAAGTACGTGCGATACCCTGCCCTCGTCAGGCGCTATCCAGGGTAGGTAAAACTTCATCTGTGCGGAAATTGCTTCTATTGCTATAGTGTATAACAGCATTTCAGCACTCTTTTCTTTGATTGCTAATGGATCAAGAGCCAACGCCCATCGGCTTCGACGTCGTTTCTTCATGCTCAATATTTCATTAATACTTTGATCGATGATAGAAGTAAAACAAAACCAGCCATTGGCAGATTTATGTAATCCATGCATCTTAATCTTCTTCAAGATTATATTTGGTCTTCTTCTTCAAGATTTATTTTTTATTCTTTACCTCCTCCTCATTTCTTCTTCTTCTTCTTCTTCAAGACTATTTCTTTCTTCCCAATTCCTTTACCTCCACTTTATTTCTTCTTCTTCTTCTTCTTGCTTTCCATATTCCTTTACCTCCTCTTCATTTCTTCTTCTTCTTCTTCTTCTTCTTCTTCTTCTTCTTCTTCTTCTTCTTTACTTCGTCTTTCTTCTTTCTTTTTCTCCATTTCTTCTTCTTTTCTTTTCCCCCGTCTTTCTCCTTCCTTCTTTTTCCTTCTTTATTTCTTTTCTTTTCTTCTACTTATACATTCTACTTTTCTTCTTCTTTCTACTTCTTCATTTTTCCTCTTCTACTTGTTGTTCTTCAAAATTTCTTCTTTACCTTGTCTTTCTTCTTCTTTTCTTTTTTCTCCATCTTTCTTCTTCCTGCTTCTTTCTTCTTCCTATTTCTTTTTCATTTCTTTTTTTATTTTCTTCTCCTTATAGTTTCTTCATTTCTTCTTATTTTTCTTCTTCGTCTTTTTTCTTTATTCTTCTTCTGCATTTTTTCTTTTCTTCTGTCTACTTCTTCTTCGACTTTCGTCTTCTTTCCTCTTCTATATTTCTTCTTTTATTCTTCTTTCCTCTTTCTGCTTTTTCATTTCTTCTTATTTTCTCCTTCTTTCGTCAATCTTCTTGTTTCTTCTTCATCTGTTATTTTCTTCTGCTGCTACTTCATTTTTTCTTCTTTTTCTTAGTCTTCCTACTTTATCGTCATTTCTTCTTTTCTTCTTTCTTTATACATCTTCATTTCTTCTTCTTTTCATCTTCGTCTTTATTCTTTTCTTCATTTCCTTCTTTCTTCCTCTAGATTGCTTTTTCTTCATTTTTCTTTCTTCTTTTTCTTCATTTATTCTTCCTTTCTTCTTCGCCTTTCTTCTCATTTTCTTATTCTTTCTACTTCCTCATCTCTTCTTCTTTTCTTTTTTCATTTTCGTCTTCTATCTTTCTTCTTTTCATTTTTTCTCTTTAATTCTTTTTCTTTTTTTCATCTTCGTCTTTCTTCTTCGTTTCTTATTCTTTCCTCCTTGTTGGTCTTGCTTCTACTTTCTTCATTTCTTCTTTTCTCCTTCTTTCTTCATCTTCATATCTTCTTTTAATTTCTTCATTTCCTTTTTCATCTTCGTCTTTCTTGTTCTTCATTTCTTCCTTACTTCTTCATTCTTCTTTTTGCATGTTCTTCATTGTTTATTCTTTTCTTCTTCTTCTTTCGTCATATCTTCTTTTCTTCTTCTTTCTTCATCTTCATTTCTTTTTTCTTCTTTTCGTCTCTTTTCTTTTCTTCTGCTTCTTTGTCTTCTTCTTCTTCTTCTTCTTCTTCAATAGTTTGTCTTTTCTCCCTTATTGTCCTCGTCTTCTTCCTTTCCTTCTTTGTTTTTCCTTCATTTCTTCTTCTTTCCTTCCTCTTTTCTTCTTCTTCTTCTTCTTCTTCAAATATATTTCTTTCCTTCCTCATTCCTTTACAAACTATTTCCTTTCATATATTCTTCTTCAAGACAGTTTTTCTTCATTCCTATACCTCTTTTTTCATCTTCATTTCTTTTTTTCTTCTTTTCGTCTCTTTTCTTTTCTTCTTCTTCTTCTTCTACAATACTTTGTCTTTTCTCCCTTATTGTCCTCGTCTTCTTCTTTTCCTTCTTTGTTTTTCCTTCATTTCTTCTTCTTTTCTTCCTCTTTTAATCTTCTTCTTCAAATCTATTTCTTTCCTTCCTCATTCCTTTACAAACTATTTCCCTTTATATATTCTTCTCCAAGACAATTTTTCTTCCTCATTCCTATACCTCTTTTTTCTTCATCTCTTCTTTACTATTCATTTTCTTCCCCGTTGACTTACAGACTCTTCTTCTTCTTCTTCTGTAATAAGACTATTTATTTCCCCTCCTCATTCTTTTAAAATTGTCATTTCTTTTTCTTTTTCTTCTTCATCTTTTTCTTCTCCGCTTCGTTTTCTTTGTCGTTTTCTTCTTTTCTTTTTCTTAGTCTTTATTTATTTTCTTCTTCATTACTTCTTTTTTCTCTTTCTCATTTCCATATTCGTCTTCATTTTTGTCATTTTTTTTCTTCTCATTTATTTCTTCTTCGTCCTCTCCCTCATTTTTTCTCATCCTCCTTCGTCGTCGTCTTCTTCCTTTTCTCCTCTTCCTCATTCTTCTTTTCCGCCTTACCCTCTTTCTTATTCTGATTTTTCTTCTTCTTTTTCTTCTCCTCCTCCGTCTACTTCTTATTCCCTTATTTTTATATTCCTCTTCCTCCTACTTCGTCTCCTCCTCCTATTCCTCCTGCTCCTTCTTCTTCTTTCCTTTCCCTTCTCCTCCTTCGCCTTCTTTTCTCCTCCGCATTCTCCTTTTCCTCCTCAAACTCCTCCTCCTTCTTTTTCTCCATTTTCTTTTACTCCTCCTTACTCTTCAACTACTACTACTACTAATACTACTACTACTACTATTTTGTCTTCTTCCTCTTCTTCCCCTTCTTCTATCATTATTATTTTATTTTATCTTTTTCTTCTCTGTGTTCTTTTTTTTTATTTTGTTGCTTCTCATTTTTTCTTCCTATTTTTCTCCTGCTTCTTTTCCATTCTTTTCTTCTTCTATTTTATCATTCTCTTTTTCTTCTTCCTTACCTTTATTTTTGATCTTCTTTCCTTCGCTGTTTTCCCTTGTTTTCGTGACCATTTTCTCCTCCGTTCACTTACTCCCCCCTCTCTCTCTCCCCTTCCTTTCGTCCTTTTCGTCTTTGTTTTTACTTTTCTCCCTCTTTTTAATTTTACCCTTTCTTTGCGTGTCTATCAACAGATTCTTCTTCTTCTTCTTTTCCATTTCCTTCTTTCTATTGACGCCATTTCTTTTCTTTTTGACATGTTTCAAATCACTCTGCAAAGATGGGTGACGTTCACTAAGCCACTATCTTTTGTCGACCATCTTACTTCTTACTTTTAAAAACTTTGATAGCGCCTCACCAACAGAAATGAAAATGAGGGTGCGAAAAAAAAAGAAACGAACGCTTTTTTCTAAATTTCTACTCGTCGTCTACTTCCACGCTCCATTACACAGCATATTAGCACCATCCCTGATATAAACAGGTTCTTTGCAGACTCCAGTATAGAATATGTGTGAAACAAAATTTATAGAAAATTGTTTCAAATTTCAAGCATTCTCTGTTTTTAACTTTTCAGAGTAATTTCATAAATTACTGTATTTGACGGCATATCACGCGCAGTTTTTTTTTTACTAAAAATATCTTTTAAAATTCCCCTGCGTCTTATATGCCATATTTAGGTTTTAAAATTAGCGATAGTTGGCCGAAATTAGCTACCTGACAACTCGTATTAGCTTAGACTTTAGAGTATCTTTCATATACCTATTGTCATTGTTTAAAAGGCTATTATGACGATTAAAAGTGTTATCATTGATTATATTAATTTTATCACGTTTAATATTCATACTTTATTTCATTAGACAAAGAATTTATGCAATAAATTCAAATTATATATTTGTAAAATATATTTGTTTCATTAAGATTTTTCTTGCGATAACTTCCGGACGAATTGGTATGAATGCAATCAGAATTTTTATAGGCTAATTATTCCAAAAAGATTGGGGCACCCCGGTATAGTGTAATGGTTAACAAGCTTGTCTCGGTAGATAAGTTACGACTGAAAAGTGGGTTTGATTCTCACTAGGTGCCCCATACTTTCGGCCTTGTGCCACATCTAAGCTACGCTTGAAAAATCACTATTCCAATAAGACGTCTACAAGACGCGGGTTGTACAGATAATATAAAGGATATAATAAAATTTTTATAGGCTCCTGGTCTTTTTTTTTTTTCTATTTTTCGTTTACTTGTAATTATTGCTCGTTTAACCAAAATAATACCCCATAAATATAGCATAGGCTGTATCATTTACTAATAATTTTACTAATTACTAATTTTTCTTGATTTGCCTTCAAGAGACTGGGGTGCGTCTTATACACCCGTGCGTCTTATATGCCGTTAAATACGGTACATATTGGGTTTGCTGAACATTACGTTCGATTTTTAAACGAAATTAAGACAGACGTTTTAAACACAAAGCTATTTATTCAATTAATGATAGAAATTACGGCTTCTCTCTTCTGGCATATTGATGGGCGATACATTACTCCTTGATCAAAGAGTTTTCTGTATTTACTGGCGACAAAAAAACGCTTCCAGGTCAAATTTTACATTATTGTCTGAGTTGATCGTCTGACAATTCAATGAATTTTGAAGATGCTTAAATAGATGGAAATACGAAGTCGCAAGATCGAATGAATATAAAGGTTGCAGTAAAACTTCCCCAGCCAAGCACAAAACTTTTGCTGCGTAGGTATATAACTGTGTGGACTGGCATTGTTGTGATGAAAGACAATGCACTTACAATTAGCTACTGATGCATAACTGCGTTTAATTCGTCTAGTTGGTCACAGTACATATCAGAATTAATAGTCCTGTCGGTAGGAAGAAGATTGCAAAAAAAAAAAAAATGAAAAACATGCTTTCAATCCGACCAAATAAAAAGCATAACATTCTTCGAGTTAAGGCCTGCTTTGGCGCTTCTTTATTTCGCACGCCGGACTTCCTTCAACATCGCTTGCTTTTCACATACTCATAGATCAAGGGGGGCCCAAACTGCGGCTAATGAGCCACATGCGGCGCTTGGAAATATGTTTCCGGAGATACTTTTTTTCATCACAGTTGATATAAAAGGTTACATTCGCGTAGTTCATTACCGTATTAAATGGGCTCAGTATGGTTAAAATAATCATTGGTCAAGATTTACACAACATTTAGCATATACGGCGTGTAACAGCAAAACTGTCCAAATTATGTAACAGCAAAATTGTCAAATTGTTAGATTAAGTTTTGAACCGTTTTATCGTAGAAATGATTAAAGATATCTTACTGGAATTCGAGGTATTCATAAATCTATTGGACGCTATTTTGAACAATAAGAATGTATTTAGCGCTAAGTTAAAATAATTATATATATATATATATATATATATATATTATATATATATATATATTATACGCGCGGTACTTATTAGAAAGTGCTCAATATCAGTGATAGAGCTAACATATTTAGTTGTATGGATATGAGTTTGTAATTCTGGGTTTCACGCTTTTGCGATCATCAGACAAACTTTTGTCTGATGATCGTAAAAGCGTGAAACACAGGGTTACAAACTTATATCTATACAGCTTATATATATATATAATTATTTATTTAAAAATATGATTCCTTCGCTACATAAGATTTCGCATGTTTCAAAACAAGAGCCGAAAATATCAATATAATTATTTGAATTAACTTGAATGAAAGTAGCAAGCTCTGTTCCATTTTCAAGCGAAATTTTTTGAGTAACTAATTCTTGAATTTTACGCGTTTTTTATAAGCATATTCATTACTAAAATTAAAATTATTATGGTAACGGCTAGCGCAATTATTTTTTTTAAAAAAAAGGTGGGGCGTAAAGGTTAATAATTTGTATCAATATCTCAGTTACATTCAAAGAGGTCAAGTCAAGGTAAGCTTGGGGTGTCTAAATTTAAAGCGGAAGATGACATCGTCTAGTCTGGTTAATGTCTATGGAGATTTATTTATTTTTTTATTTTATTTTCTTTCCTGAAAGGGTTTTGTGTATATAAAACCGTCATAATTAGCTAACATTTGTTTTTTGACGACTTCATAAAGGTTATTATTATTATTATTATTGGGTAGGGCTTTGAAACTTTTTATTTAGACTATGGAGTTTAAAATTTGTATTTATTATTTAATTGTTTGTTTTTTATGCTAATTATTCAATGCGAAAATTTGATGATGTTGGCAAAAAACCGTTAGCTCGTGTCTATTGTTTAATAAATTTTCATTATTTAGAAACTTGATAATGTGTAGTTTTTCATGTAGGCATAAAGGGCATGGGTCATCCCAAGTTTTACTTTTGGTGTTTTATTCATTTCCTTCAGATGCCAAAAATATTTAGATAGAGATGTTTGATTTCTTTTATTAATATTGTTGAAGGAGCACTTATGCTGTCTCCACCTGGTTTTAAATTCATTCTTCGTAGACCCAATGTATATCATATTAGTGTTAGGACACTCAATGGATGACATTGTACATTGGTATAAGACAGATTTACATATATATATATACTGGGTGTAAAATCAAAATTGTCAAAATTAGGAAGCTCAGAACTGGTGTATCTTAAAACTGATTAAAGATATTTTACTGGAATTCTCCGCCGTTTTTATAACACTTTTGGGCACTACTTTGAGCAGTAAGAATATATAATTACTCTCCAAGCTTAACAGAAGAATCGTGATGAAATCGATCATAAACGAATATAGTTAAGGAGCGGAAGCTCATGGAGTATGAAAATAAACTTCTAGTATATATATATATATATATATATATATATATATATATATATATATATATATATTTATTCCAAGATCATTTTCCAACTTATTCAATACTAGCAGTAGAGCCCGGCGTTGCCCGGGGATGTAACAGTAAGAGATAGATCAAGTATCGACCATCATAAAGACTGAAAAATAAAATTGACAAAGATTATTGTTTATAGTTGACGGACACGCATGTATTAATTAGTATTTTTTTTGTTTTTTTTTTACGAATGGGTGAAACTAAAACTCAAACAAAAACATTGTTTTCAATTGTTATGAGACTACCGATTGAATAGAATTTTATTATAAACAATTGTCTTGTAAATGGAATTTTTAAAGCATTCTGAATGTAAAAATAAAGAAAAAAGTGTGCAAGACAATAAGAAATACTACCTGAAAAAAAAAAAGAAGTTTTGTTGAAATCGGTTGAAAAATGTAGGAAATCCGATCCCATATATAAACGAACAACCT